GGGTTTAGGGTTTAGGGTGTGTACACAAATGTCACAAAAGCGGAGGCTGGCTCCAGGAGCAGTCCCCGGAACTCCCTGCTGTGGCACTCCCGGCGCCCCTCCGTGGAGAACTGCGCCCTGGCTCGGCAGGACTTGGGGTCCAAAGTCTAAAGTTTAGAGTTGAATATACGGGCCTTCATAAGTAGAATCTGGTTTTGGGGCCCACTATGCTATTCTTATAATAAGGAAGCCCCGCAATGGTATTGGTAATTATTTATGTCCCTACATTAGTACTAAGGTTTTAGGGCATTGGGATTTAGGAATGGGGGTTTACTGCTTAGGGCTTAGGGTCTAGGGTTTGGGATTCGAGCTTTTTTTTCTGAGGACGTTCAGGCAGGAGTTGAGATTCGAGGGTTTGAGAGAGTAAGCTTGGGGGGTGTTACTGAGTTTCAGGGAGCAGGGGGGTCTAGAAACCCTAAACTCTAAACCCAAAGCCCTACACTCTAAACCCTAAGCCCTAAGCCGGGATTAAAGGTGTAGCCAGAGTTTGGGGGTTTGGGACTTGCATGGTCGAAGTTAGTATGGCCAAGCAACCCCCGACTTTACAGTGCATTGCGCTACATTCTACGGTTTAAGGTTTAGCGTTTAGGTTTTAGGGCTTAGGGTTTAGTGTTAGTTTAGGGTTTACGTTGCATGTCGCCGCATTACTTTACAATGCGTTACCGTACGTTACATTGCATTACATGACATTACACTACACTACAAAACAGCATGAAGTTACACCCGTTCATTTGCCTTCGGTATTCAATATGCTATTGCTAGGCCATATTGTGTGGCATAGTTGTGCGGGATGTATCCACGTGCGCCATGTGTTGTCATGCCATGCTCGTGTTACGTTTGACACGCTTTGCTCTGTGCAGAGATGCTCACATGTGTAAATTTAGGGCTTAGGTGGAGATTAGGTCTGTGTATGGTCGTGTGAGCTATCAGCCTAAATTTGTTCGGGACCCTCTGAAGACGGAATTCCAGAATTTCAACCTACATCCAAAGCACCAAAGCTCCTTCCGGAATCCCCATACAACCCTTCTACATTAAACCTTGCCAGCCCTTAGCAAGCGTGTGCATCTAGACACAAGCTGTGTATGGTTTGTCTTGGGCCGAGGTGCGGCATGACGTCTTGCTACGACTGACGCAGAAAAAACGACTTCGATTGGGGATCCCTAAGCCCTAAACCCTAAACCCTTAACCCCCTAAACCCTAAACCCAGATGGGTAGTTTTCTAAATTAGGGTCCATTTTTAGGTCCCCAACATAGTACGGCAACCTTTTAAACGGTACCCTGAAAGGGACTCCAATTTAGAGAGCCACCCATATTGGCGCTTTCTAAAACAATCCCACAGAGTCGGCCCCTCCCAATTCTGAAGGGGCCCGAAACGATCCCAGCTTTGGAGAACTGCGCCCAGGTGAAGCTCCGGGCTTCAGGTTTAATATAGGGTTTAGGGTTTAGGGTTTAGGGTTTAGGGTTTAGGGTTTAGGGTTTAGGGGCCTAAGTAATTACCTATACCATTTTGGGGTTCCTTCTTGAAAATAGTTTACTCTACCACAAAGCCCTAGTCTAATTAATAAGGCCCCTAAATGAAGCCTATAGGGTTCTGTCGTGTTATGGCTAGCCAGAAGCCCTGAAAGGACCTCCCAGGATTTAAGTTGACACGTTCTGTTCGCAAGTTGGCCCTAAACCCGAAACCCTAAACCCTAAACCCTAAACCCTAAACCCTATATTAACCCTTAGGGTTTAGCAGGTTTGTTGTCATTGTCTTTGTTCCCTGGTTTTGGCTTGGGGTCAAGGGACTGTGTGAGACTCTTTGTTTGATCCAATGGGGGCCGAAATAGTTAAAAATACTCTTTTGGGGTTCCTTATATGCAACTTGTAGTATAATCGGCCCCAGAACCCTATTCTAATTGCTAAGGCCCCTTTTTCTAGATCCTCATGGTAACCCTTATAGTAACCCTTTAAAGGAACCCTTTTCTAGTTACTAAGGCCCCTTGATTAGATCCAGTTGCCTGGCCTCGGGTTCGAGGGAGAGAAATAAGGCAGGGTTTAGGGTTTAGGGTTCCGGGTTTCGGGTTTCGGGTTTAGGGTTTAGGGTTTAGGGTTTCGGGTTTCGGGTTTAGGGTTTAGAGTTTAGGGGTTTAGGGTTCAGGGTTTGTTTGCCCGAATCCCTAAGCGTAGCTCGAGTGACGCGACATCGATCAAGCTGCGGCCTCCGTTCAAAAAAATACCTCTATATTATTCCACATTATGTGTATATACAGATATATAATGTATACATACTGTTGGTGATATAAATCCTGCATTACCTTAAGGACCCTAAACTATCGGAATTATGGTATATTTCTTATTATGGTTAATGCAGGATTTATATCAGCAACCGTACGTCTATATTACTCTACATTATGTGTATATGCCTGCAGATATACATATGTCACATTTACATGTACACACATGCCGTATGTATGTCTGTCTCGAGTTCCCGGGGCCTGAGCCTCTGAAGCCTTGAAACCCTCAACCCCAAGTCATGAATTCCCCCGCGTCCCATCACCGTAGGCAACACAAGGTTTTAGGGGGTTTAGGGTTTAGGGTTTAGGGACCATCGCTCTAGACCCTGAGCACTTAACATCAATCGTGTTGGAAGGCTGGTTGTCTGCTTGAAACCCATACATTCGCTCGGAATGAGTTGCACAGAACTTGAACAGCAGGAATCGGAAGAGCTACCGACAAAGGCATGACATGACTCAGGCTTAATATAGGAGCCTTAATAATTGGAATGGGGTTTTGGGGCCCATTATGCTCTAATTTTTATCAGAACCCCCCGCCCCCAAACAAAAAAACCTATTCTAATTATTAAGGCACCTGCATTATTTCAACATTTAGGAGCTTGAGGAGTTGGAGATCTAAACGACATCATGACACCGGGAGTTTAAAACTGTAGGGGGCTCGGGAGGTTAAAGTTTCCATGACCCCGCGCATCAGACCATCTCTACTGATCACTATTGTGGGATGCCAGGCGGCACATGTGAGCAAGCATATTGGAGGTAAGCCGCTGATCCTACCGCCCCCCCCCATAGCCTCGGCTAGTTAACAAATAGCAATCAGTGCAGGCCTCACACTCTGACTGATGGCTACAACAACGGGCAGACAGAAGTAGCTATCGGGGAAACACCACACCTGCAAGAATGAGGTGGCCGCCGTCGTCATAATAGCCTTCACAACACATTGTTGGAAAGTATTCCACACATGGTGCAGGCAAGATTCATCTCGACATGCTCCGTAGAAGCAAGCGGACCTTCCCCAGTCCTGAACTCCTAAACCCTAAACCCTAAACCCTAAACCCTAGACCCGAAAGCCCTGAGTCCACAGCCTGCGACCCCGACCCTCCAAACCCTCAATCCCAAACCGCAAGCAAGACCCTAATGCAGGGGCCTTAATAATTAGAATAGGGGTCCTTTAAAGGGTTCCGTAAAGGGCTCTATAAGGGCACTATAAGGGCTTAGGGTTCAGGCCCTTAATAATTAGAGTAGGGTATGGGGGGTTTCTTGTTATAAGTATACCATAATATATCCCAAAACCCAATTCTAAGTGTTCAGGCTCCTCCTATATTATGCCCCCCTAAAGGCAAGCTTGGACCCCCTCATCCTGAAACCTTCCTGGAATTCCCCGAAGGTGGATGCCAGGCGTGGAACAGCCGCAGGGTTCTGTGGGGCATTTGGGATTGAGAATCGAAGGCTTTGGCTGCATTTGACTGCTGTCTTGAGTCTGATTTAGGCGATTCCAGTGTTTGCCCATAGAACTCACGGATATTTAGCGTGTGAAACGCAGCTTTTTGACGAGCTGCGGGTAGCGGATCCTAGCAAAAGAGCAACATGGAAAAGCTGGCCCTACACCTTAAACCCGAAAGCCTATATCCGAAGCCCTAAACCCTAAATCCTAAATCAGACGACGAAACTAAAACCTTACAAACTTCAGGGTTTAGGGTTAAGGGTTTAATGATTAATGGTTAGGGGTTAGGGCTCAGGGCTTACGGTTTTGGTTTTAGGGTTTAGGGTGGAGTTCTGGGGTCTGTCGTAGTACCATGACGATACGGGGTCCTAAGGACAAGTATTACTAAGGGTTTAGGGTTTAGGGTTTATGGTTACTAACTCTTCAGGCTTCCGTCTTACCCTCACGCTGCTACAAGAAACTCTGACCCCAAACTCTGAGCTCAAAACCCAGTCCAACATCCCCTGAACCCTCAACTCTAAACCCTCAACCAGCCCCAAATCCTCAACCCTCAACCCTAAGCCTTACACCCTAAACCCTAAACCCTAAACCCTAAACCTTAAGCCTTAAGCCCTTTATTCCCTAAACCCTAAACCCTAAACCCTAAACCCTAAACCCTAAACCCTAAACCCTCAACCCCTCAACCCAAGCAGGGAGAAAACGGAAGACGTCAAGCAGGAGGCGGGGCATCTCTCGGGCTTGGTGTGGGGTTGTGTAAGGCTTACAGGGTCTTCGCCTTCGCAGTGTAGGGTTTAGGGTTTAGGGTTTAGGGTTTAGGGTTTAGGGTTTAGGGTTTAGGGTTTAGGGTTTAAGGGTTTAGGGTGTAAAGGCTTTCTTCAGGATTTGGGCTAAGGGCTTT